TGGGGGCAATGGGTGGACAGTTTGAGGCTGGGTTGAGGGCAAAGCTTGGCTTGAGGGGCATGGGGAATGGACCCAATCTATGTATGGCTTGCCTCTACTTACCCCAGATCTCTACTTATAAAAGAGAAGGGGAAGGCTCTGTAGGTAGGTCTCCCCCATTAGGGAGCCTTCCTTTCCCAAGTCCTAGGATACTTCTGCTGCTCCCTGAAGTCAGAACTGGTGTCCATTTGCAAGCATTGCCTCTGAAAATACCTATCATCTCTCCATGGGTTAGCCTTGGGGAACTTTTTATGTGCCACGGAAGTTTTCCTGAGGCCAGGCCTCCTTATAGGAGCAGCTGAGAGTGGCCACCAGGAGTCTGTGCAGGTGGACCTCCTACTTTGGAGCAGCCTGGGCTGAGTACTGAGAGGAGAGGTCTGCCTGCCGGGGCTGGCGAGGTGACGGGAAGTGACTGGCTGCGGAAAAGGAGATGCGCAGGCCCTCAGTCAGCCCTGGCTCTTGTTGCCTCAGCATCTCCTCTGCAGCCCCCTCCATCCCGTCGTCCCCACTGGCTTGGAACAGGGGAGGGGGTGGAGATGAAGAGGCCCCTTTCTACCTCCACAACCCCAACCGGGATCTTGCAACACTGGGATGGGGGCCCTGGGGACCCGGGCATGTGGCAATCCATGGGGGGCAGGGTGGGGAGGTGTGCACGGAGAGGGGGAGAGGCTTTCACAAGCAGCCTCCACCGCGACTGACCTTGGCGGGCTCACCTTGGGCAGCTTCCCCCTCTCAGAGGAATCTCCAAGCAGCCTTCCTCCTGCTGCTTCCCTGGGCCTGAGATCCCATCTTTCATACAGGACTCCCACCCTGCTCCCAGCTCTGCTCATGAAGGAAGAGTCTGAGCTGTGGATTCTAAAGCCATAGGAATGCTTTAGGTGTCCCTCCTTTCCCGCCACCTATTTTTTAAAAAAATATGTTTTATTGATTTTTTTTTTTTTTTTTTTTTTTTTTTTTTTTTTTTTTACAGAGAATTGAGAGGGATAGAGAGTTAGAAACATCGATCAGCTGCCTCCTGCACACCCCCCATTGGGGATGTGCCCACAACCAATGGACATGCCTTTGACTGGAACTGAACCTGGGACCCTTCAGTCTGCAGGCCGACGCTCTATCCACTGAGCCAAATTGGTTTCAGCTCCCCCCACCTATTAATTCCCCTCCACCCTACTCCTGTCTCCTCCCCAAGTGAGACCTTGCTTTTTAAAAAATTATATATATATATATATATATATATATATATATATATATTTAAAATATATTTTATTGATTTTTTTACAGAGAGGAAGGGAGAAATATAGAGAGCTAGAAACATCGATGAGAGAGAAACATCGATGAGCTGCTTCCTGCACACCCCCTACTGGAGATGTGCCTGCAACTAAGGTACATGACCTTGACTGGAATTGAACCTGGGACCTTTCACAGTCCACAGGCCAATGCTCTATCCAACTAGTATCGGCTATAATACACTTTTTATTGATTTCAGAGAGGAAGGGAGAGGAAGGGAGAAGTAGAAACTTCGATGAGGAGAGAGAATCATTGATCAGCTGCCTCCTATAAGCCCCACACTGAGGATCAAGTCTGCAACCCGGGCATGTGCGCTGACCGGGAATCAAACCCTGACCTCCTGATGTATATAGGTTGACACTCAACCACTGAGCCCCGCCGGCTGGGCAAGAGAGACATTTCTTGACCATTCCAGCTAAAATAGCTTCCCCATCTATTAGTTTATTTGGTTTCCCCAATGGGCATATGCAAATGAAGCAATTAATGGATTTAAGGAGGGTGCTCTATAGAAGTGCAAATGAACAGGATTAAGGGAAGGTGGGAAGGCAGCAAGGAGTGGTGAGGTGGGCCTGGTGGCAGCAGGGGGGGCATTACCCTACAGGCATTTGGGCAGGTGAGAAGGCTGGTGAGAAGGCTGTGAAGAGTACCTGTCTGTCCTGGGAAGGGTTGGGGACAAGCACCTCACTTCACTCTCCTGTCTTACCTGGCATGTGGCAAGATGGACAAGGAGGGGCAGAGGAAGACGCTCAGCACATTTGTTTGTTGCCTTTTTCTTTCTGCCCCTTCAACTGGGTGCTGGGTTGTCTTACTCACCACATTATTCTGGACACCTTGCACGGGCCTGGCACAGGAAAGATGCTCAATAAATACCTGGTAAGTGTTATTTTGGCCCAAACAAGTTGAGGTCAGCTTAAAAGCCTCATTCAGAAAGCGTGATATCTGGCCCTGGCCAGTGGCTCAGTTGGTTGGAGCATCATCCTTGTGCACCTAAAGGTTTTGGGTTTGATCCCTGGTAGGGGCATGCAACTAGGTTGTGGGTTCAATACCCCATTGGGATGCATTTGGGAGGCAACTGATCGATCAGTGTTTCTCTCTCTGACTGTCTCTCTCTAAAAATAAATAAACAAAAATTAAAATAAATAGACAGCCTGGCCGGTGCAGCTCAGTGGTTGAGCATCCACATATGAATCAGGAGGTCATTATTCACTTCCTGGTCAAGGCACATGCCTGGATTATGGAGTCAATATCCAGTAAGAGGCATGCAGGATGCAGCTGATCAATGATTCTCTCTCATCAATGATGTTTCTATCTCATCCTCTTCCTTCCTCTCTGAAATCAATAAAAATACATATTAAAAAATAAAAGACATTTTAAAACGTGTGACATCTGGCTCCCTGCCGCCTCGCCCTGGAATATGATCGGTCACAGAGGATGGGGTGTGCTCAGCACCCTGTGTCACACTGGGCCGGTGCTCCCTTCTCTCCCAGGGGGGCTTCTCCAGTTCTGGCGCCACCCACCCACCTGAGGAGCCCTTGGGGTGGTGGGGGCTGGGAGGAGACACAATTCAGAACTGTGGGAAAGAAGCCTGGGGTTAATGGTGAAGCAACGCAGGTCCCATCACCCAGAACCCTGAAAATAAGTCAAGGGGCAGTGGTCTTGAGGTGGGAGGAGGAAATCCGGAGGTTGAGTCACTCGGTGTGTTCTGTACAAACCCCCCTTATGCAACCCACCACCCTGGGCCGAAAGGAAGGTGCAGGATTCTCCCAGGCATTCACAGACACTGGCCCCTCTTCCTCCCAAACTCAGATGGCTCCAGTGGGTGAAGTTCAGATCTGTCTGCCCAAACCAGGCCCGAGAGAGGGGATCCAGGGCACAGATGTAGGAGAGATGGTGCTCGAGAGACACCAAGGCAAAGGCAAGAGAGGGATGAGTCCTGGGCAAGGCAGGCACCGTGCCCACGAATGCCCAAGATGTGGGAAGGCTCTGACACTGGGGATGTGGAGAAAGAGAGAGCAGAGAGGATTCGGACCCCAGTCTTTCTGCGTCTCACAGTGTTTCCTTGATGTCTGACGCAGGCTCTCTCAGCAGTGGCTTACAAGTCATTGGTGATCTAGAGGAGGCTCTAGCCTGATTTGTGTGTCCCTGTCTCTGTCAGGCACTCCTCATCACTCAGGAATGAATTCAGTTGCCCTGCCATGTGCTGTATACTGCTGAGGGGAGGTATGAGCTCAGAGTAGAGAGACAGGTCCCTGTGTTGAGACAGCAAAGGGACTGAGTGAGCTTTAGGACAATGTCTCTTACGCCCTCAACCGCGTTATCTACAAAATGTGGCTCACATTATCTTGTTTCTCTGAGAGCCGAGCCCACTGGATAATTTCTTGAGGTCTTTTCTAGTACTTTAATCTATAATTTTATGGAGCTAATCTTGGTTCTGCCTCTAACCAATATGTGATTCTAAGTCCCTTTCCGTCTCTGAGGCCTCAGTTTTCTTACCTGAAAAAATGAGAAGTTTATACTCAGAAATCTCTGAGGCCCTGTCAGTTCTAGCAAAATAGAATAACTGTTCACACTGGCCCACGCCCTGTTCATCTATGAACATAACAGCACTATGAGGAGGTGGCTAGCCCTGCTCCCATTCTGCGGATGAGGAAGCTGCAGCACGGAGAGAAGTAGCTGGCTCGAGGTCACACAGCTGGTAAGTAGCAGAGGGAAACGCAAAGGGAGGCTCTCAGGTACTGTATTACTGTGTGTCTCAGGTGAGAGTTCTGTGAAAAAGAAAACACTTTGGACACGGGGTTTCATGGTCCTCCTCCTTATGATCAACTTTCTCATAAATAAACGGGCCTCAAGACCTTTCCCAACGGATTCATCCCCTAAGCACTCAAATGCTCATGCATTAGGGTCCCAGGGGAGGAGGCACAAAGAAGGGAGCAGGTGGGAGGGAACCATGGGGATATGTCAATTGGGTAGACGGAAGCTGTGGATCTGGAGAGAAGAGACTTAAGTCTTGGATCAAGAGCTAAGGGTCCACAAGAATAGCAGTCACCTGGAATTTCCCCCTCGGTCAGCGGGGCAGGAGCTCCCAGGGGATACCTCCAGGGGACAGAGAGCAGGGCTTGGGCCAGCAGGGTCTGGGTGGTGCTAGGTCTTCGTCCAAGCCACAGAGCTCTGTGAGGACAGTAACCAGAGGCTGCTCTAGGTCCTGTGGGATGCAGGAAGGCGCCTTCAGTATCCAGAGGACGGGGCCGAGCGGGGCGGAGGTGGGGGAAGAGACAGAGTGACAGACAGTATCTGCTGAATATTTGGAAATATTCCCAAATATTCTCTTGGGCATGGAAGCAAGAGGTGTGCAGAACTAGCCACATGCATTTCCAGGCACTTGCCATAGCTTCATTTGCTGTCTTTCCTCTGCCGTGGCTGAGGCACACACACAAACACACTCCCACACAGGCCCAGGCCCAGCGTACAGCCCCAGAACCGAGTCATAGTGCAATTTTATTCAGCTTCAGAACCATAATGCTGAGGCCTGCCCTCCTCCCTTGCCACCTGCTGCCATTTGTCCATGGTTTATGTCTCAGGCTTGGCCTGTGAGGGGCTCTAGGACCCAGCAGGGCAGGGGTCCCCAGGGTCAGGCGGTGGGGGAGAGGGGGTAAGGTGCCCATAGTCTACCAGCTGGATCAGCTGCAGCCCCCCACGCCCTTGATGAGGTTGGCGGCCTCGGGGATCTGGCGGAAGAGGTTCCGAAGGGTGTCCAGCTCCTGGGTGAGCTGCTCCACGCGGCTGCGGAGGCGATCGTTCTCCGCCATGTACTCCAGCACCTTCTGCTGCGTCTCCAGGATGCGCCTCTTGGCCTTGTCCCGGCTCTTGCGCACCGCGATGTTGTTCCGCTCCCGCCGCAGCCGATACTCCAGGCTGTCCTTGTTGACTGCCTTCTTGCCCTTGTGTGAGGAGCCAGCCGGGGAGGGAGCCTTCAGAAGGGGACTGCAGGGGGGCGCGGCAGCAGCCATAGGGGCCTGGAGGGGAAGGCACAGGGAGGCGAGAGGTGAGAGCTGGCCAGGAAGCAGAGCAGAGGTAGGGCAGCGAGGCGGGCAGCCAGAGCACCCTTGGGCCTCCAAGAGCTGTGGCTCCAGAGCCAGCTCCTGAGTCCCAGGCAGAGCAGGCTCTGCCTGCCGGATGCACAGGGTCCCGGCTCTGACTGAAACTCCCTTTCCTGCTCCACACACTCTGAGGACACTTTCCTTCTATCTCTCTTGAGCCTCCAATTCTGTGATCAGCTAGCATTTCCTCTTCTAGAAGCGGGCGGCAGAGACACAAGAGGCGGGCAGCAGAGAAGCGAGGGGCCTGAGGTCAGGCAGGTCCGCTGGCCACAGGGGCTGCAGGACATTGGGCTTCAGGGTGGGAATAGATCCACAGAGAAGGAAGCAGGCTCATGCCTGGATGGTGGGTGCAGACAGCTTCGGGGTGAGTCACTTTCACAAAGCAACGCCAGACACAGACCCGCCGAGAATGTAAGCAGGAAGCTCAGGGTCCCCCCCCGTCCACAGGGGCCTCTCTCGGGCCACTGGAAGGCAGGGAGGAGGGCTGACCCGCTCTTACCTTGAGGACACGCAGGGGCTGGCTGGGCGCTGCCAGGGCCGGGGGCAGGTGCATGGCCGTCTGCCCGCAGTGCGCCACCTGGTACTGCAGAGGGTTGTAGCCGCTGCGGCCGGCCCCGCGGCCGCCCTCGGGGCCCCGCGGCTCCTCCTTCACAGCCACGGCCCTGGGGTCGTAGCTCCCCGGGCTGCTGTAGATGCCGGGTCCCAGCGCCTTCCTGTCGGGGCCGAAGGTGTGTGTGGGGTAGGCGAAGGGCCGAGGGTCAGGCGGCAGGTAGTGGGGGAAGGCAGAGGCTCCCGAGCCTTTGAGGCCTCGGGCCTCCGGTGACGGCTTCACAGCGAAGAGGTCGGAGAGAAGCTGCTCCTCCCCGGACTCGATGTAGGCGGAGAGGTCTATGGAAGCCTCGTGCTCGCACATGTCCCCCAGCTCCCCAGGCCCCGCGCGGGCCCCCGAGAACTCGAGTGGCTGCTGGCCAGCCCGGGGCTCACACTCGTAGTAGGTCCCGTGGGACATGGCTGGTCCGCCCCCTGGGCTCCCCGCCCCCGGCCTGCTCTTGGGGCACCTTGGGATGCTCGGCCTGCCCTTCCTCAACTGCCCCCTGCCCTAGATTTGCCCTAGATCTGCCCTCTCGGGCTCCTCTGCCACCCACTCCCGCCTGGCCTCTCTCCTCCCGCCTCTGTTTCCTTTTCCTTCCTCTGTAGCCAATGCAGCTTTTCTCTTCCCTTTTTTCCCCCCTCTCTCCCTGGGGTGACTCAGGGAGGGGCAGGGCGCACCCCGAGGGAGGGATGCGGGCCTTAGAGAAATGGGGCCCCCAGCCTATCTAGCGGTTGGGCACTCTTTGGTCAGGATCCAAGTCAGAGTTCTGAGCTGCCCAGGAGCTGGTGCTTCTGGGAACACCTCCCCGGTTCCTGCTGAGTCCAGGGCACGCCAGCGTCCTTGCTGAGGGCAACACCTCCCTCTGAGAGTCCTCTTCCCTCCAACCTCCAAAGGGTTCTGTGCAGAATGAGGTGCTAAGTCAGAATGAACAGAGAGCACCCTCTTCCAGTGCCGACCCCGGCTTTGGCTGAGCTCCTCCCTCAACACACCTCTCTCTCAGGCCCCCCCAAAGCCTGGGCTCCACCCACTCCCAGAGGCAGTCAGTTCCTTCTGTAGCCCCACCTCCCCAGGGCATTCTCCTGGGTGCAGGCCAGGGAGCATTTGAGGGGTTTAGGAAATAGTGATAGGTTCTGGGACTGAGTCATACACAGGGCCTGTGTTGTGGCACAGAGCCCGCTCATTGGCTAGGTTTTTGCACAAGGTCTGTGCAATAGCCCAAACCCTCATCTGTTTCCAGCTGTGGCTAGCGTTAGCAGCCTGGCCCTGGCCCTGAGTGTCTGGCTTCGCTGAGGCTCCTGATCAGGACTTGGACCCTGTGCCCCGGGCACAGGCAGGTGGCTGCCCCAAGAATGGACTGTCACACTCTTCTGGGGGTCCCAGAGCCTCTGTGCCTGTTGCCTTGTGCTGCCAGAGCCTCAGGCGGGAGCTCTGCCCCGCTCCGGACCTGGGGCTCTGCTCCATTTCCTGTGCCCTGGCCGCAGGGCTCAGGCACTCTCCACAGCTCGGTTTGCTGTCTTTCCTTCTGCATAGCCATTGTCTGACCTCCATGCATCTCTTGGGACCACTTCCTCTTGTGAGGCTTGAGAAGCCTTGTCTTTTGTTATCACCCCTTCCTGGGGCTCCTCCTGAAGAGGAGAAGCTCAGGGCTTGCTCTGTGCATTTGATCTCATGGGAGGTCCCTTCTCCCTTTTCCCTTTCCCCTCTCCCCTCTGGGAACTCCCCATTCTTTTCTGTCAGCGGCACGTGTCGAATTATATCTATAAAAGGGACGATAATTCAGTGAAAAGGAAGGACCCATGGAAGTGTGTTACTGGCTCTTTTATCACCAGCAGATGCTGGGAGTGCCTTGTGGGGAGCTAGAAGGTTTTATAGGTCAGGCACACCAAGGGCCAGGCCACCGTGGGGGAAATGCAGAAGGGATAGGTGTGGCATTAATCACTAAAATGAAGTATGCAAATAGAGCTGCCTAAAGGTCAGACAAGTTACCCCTCATACCTGGGTGGTGGGTGCAGACAGCTTCCTCCCTCCCAACACCACAACACCCCAGGAGCTTTCTATGCAGGGATTGAGGTGCTTCCTTTAAAAGCCCTGACCTGGAAACAGAGGGAGAAACCAAGATGGCGGCACAGGTAAACGCCTAACTGCAGCCTCACACAACAATTTCAAAAAAAAATACAACTAAACTATAAAATGGACATTATCTAGAACTACAGGAAAGTTGACTGACTGGAAATTCTACAACTAGAAGGAAAGAGAAAACCAGAAGGAAAATCAGAGGAGCTGTAAAAGCCTAAGGTACAGAGACATGGTGCACGCGCAGAGAGGAAGGAACTGGAGAGGAGGGGGAGGCTGATTGCCTGGATGGCATTCCCTAGCGGGAAGGAGACAAAAGCTGTGGACTGTGCTGAGCACTGAGCCCCAGTTCTGACTGCACTGAACCCCAGTTCTAGGCCAGACCCTGGGGACCCAGGCTCATATGGAGGGAGTCTGGGCTGTAAGGCGGAAACTCAGGGAAGCAGTGAAAGGAAGTCCCGGAGGCGTGCACATTGCACACAGAGAACGAACTGTAGGCTCCACCCTGAAACTCTGTCCCATCCAAGTTGAGCACAGAGGCTTTTGAAAATTTCCAAGTCTAGTCGAATAAGGCTGTCTCCTGGCATAGACACAGCTGATCCTCACAGCCAATTGGCCTGGAGGTCAGTTCCTCCCAGTGATACCAACAACAATCAAGACTTAACTACAACAAGGTTGTAACACAGTCCACAAAGGGGGGCACCAAGAGTATCCACCTCAGGTAACTGGGAGACTGACCCACAGAACCATATCGGACACCTTAGCACACAAAGCCACCCTACCAACTCAGGGAAGCAGCGAAAATGCCGAGACAAGGAAACAGATCACAAACGAAAGAAATGGAGGACAAAAAGCGACTGGATATAGAGTTCAAAACCACGCTTATAAGGTTTTTCAAGAATTTCCTAGAAAAGGCCGATAAAATAAATGAGACCTATGAGGATATGAAAAGGGATCAACTAGAAATAATAAGGGATCAACTAGAAATAATACATTGTCTGAAATAAAAAATATTATACAGAGTCCTAAACACAGAATGGAATATCGCAAGAATCAAATCAAAGATTTGGAACATAAAGGGCCAGAAGGCACTCCTTCACAGAAGCAAGAAGGCAAGAGAATCCAGAAAGTTGAAGATATGTAAGAAACCTATGTCTGGGACAACTTCAAGCAAACCAACATCAGAATTATGGGGGTCCCAGCAGAAGAGAGAGAGCAAGATACCGAAAACATACTGGAAGAAATAGTGAGAAAACTTCCTCACCTGGTGAAAGAATTAGATTTACAAGTCCAGGAAGCGCAAAGAACCCCAAACAAAAGGAATCCAAAGAGGACCACACCAAGACACATCATAATTAAAATTCCAGGAGCAAAAGACAAAGAGAGAATATTAAAAGCAGCAAGAGCAAAGTAGATAGTTACCTATAAAGGAGCACCCATATGATTGTCAGCTGATTTCTCAACAGAAATCATGAAGGCCAGACAGGAATAGCAAGACATATTCAAGGTGATGCATAGCAAGAACCTACAGCCAAAAATACTTTACCCAGCAAAGCTATCACTCAGAATCGAAGGCCAGATAAAGAGCTTCACAAATAAAAAAAAGCTAAAGGAGTTCATCACCACCAAACCAGAATTATATGAATTGCTGAAGGGGGTTCTTTAGGAAGAGGAAGAAAATAAAGATAAAAATTATGAACAACAAATATGTAACTATCAACAAGTAAACCTAAAAACCAAGGGAATTAAAAAATCTAATGAACAATATTAACGATATAATAGAATCAGAGGTATGGAAGGGGAGTGAACTGATGATTCTCAGGGAAAGGGGAGTGGGGGGGTGCAGAAAAAGACTGCACATAAACTGTGCACCTATGGATGAGGACAATGGGGGGGTGGGGAAAGGGCAGGGGGTGGGGTGGGAACCTGGTGGAGGGGAGCAATGGAGGGAGGAAAAGTGAGGAACATTTGTAATAATATGAATAATAAAAATTTATTTAAAATAAATAAATAAATAAATAAATAAATAAATAAATAAATAAATACATGCCCTGACCTGGCCCTAGCTGGTTTGGCTTAGTGGATAGAGCATGGTCCTGCAGACTAAAGGGTCCCAGGTTTGATCCCGGTCAAGGCCATATATCTTGGTTGCAGGTGCTTCCCCAGTGGGGGCAATGCAGGAGGCAGCTGATGGATGTTTCTAACTATCTCTCTCCCTTCCTCTCTGTAAAAGATCAATAAAATATATTAATATATATATTTTAAAGCCCTGACCTGGCCCTAGCCAGTTTGGCTCAATGGATAGAACTTCAGCCTTAGGACTGAAGGGTCCCAAGTTTGATTCTGGTCAAGGACACATGCTAGGGTTGCAGGCTCAATCCTCAGTAGGGGCTGAGAGGAGGCAGCTAATCAATGATTCCCTCTCATCTTGATGCTTTCATATCTCTCTCCCTCTCCCTTCCAGTCTGAAATAAATAAAATATATTTTAAAAATAAAATAATAAAAGCTCTGACCTGGCATAGGAAGATCTGCGTGCATCCCAGAGACAGATCTCAGGAACCATATGGGGAGATTTGTTCCGCCTTCTCCCCGTTTCTTCAGACCCTACAGCAAGCAGGTACCACAGCTGAGCCAATTCGTTTGGCGGCAGTGCCTCTGTGAACCATCAGGTGGCAATGTTGGCCCAAAATCTGGACTTGAGGGGCTGCTGTGGTGGCCGACAGAGGGCAGTCTCCCACAGTCCTGACCCTGGGAGACAGCCGGAGGTCTGAGGGGAAGGAGGAAAAGGGAGCACAGCTGGGAGGAGAACTTATGGTGCAGTTACTGGGAGAATGGACAGGCTGATAGGGCCTTGTCTCAATGAGGAGAAATTCTATCCTCCCCAACTTTGAAAATACTAACGATGACAGTGAAGGCCTGGCATTTTCCGGTGCTTTTTAAATCATTGAAACATACACTTTTTCATGCTGACAGTTTCCTTGTGAGTTAAGTAGGAAGGTAAGCAAGATGGTATATATTTTTTAAAATATATTTTATTGCTTTTTCTTACAGAGAGGAAAGGAGAGAGATAGAGAGCTAGAAACGTCGATGAGAGAAACATCGACCAGCTGCCTCTTGCACTCCCCCTACTGGGGATATGCCTGCAACCAATGTACATGCCCTTGACCGGAATTGAACCTGGGACCTTTCAGTCCGCAGACTGACGCTCTACCGCTGAGCCAAACCGGTTTTGGCACAAGATGGTATTTTTATTGTTCCCTTAAAAATGAGGAAAACCAACAGAGCTGCCCAAGGTCATTCAAGCATGCTGCGTTGGGGCAATGGGTTAACTCTTGATACGCTC